AGTCTCACAAGCTTCTCTGGACGTGGCTTCTTTAGGACTTAGTGAATCTCACACAAAGAACTAGAGAAAGAACAACAAAGAATTCACAACTTTGTTTAAGGAAAAACTGTTTCTATAACTTTCAAATGATCAAGGGTGTTTTTATAATGATGGACGACTGGAGCTTATATAGGCTCTCCTAGGGGACTCTAGAAAAGACCAAACGGTCATAAATAATACAAGGAAAGAAAATAACTTGAAAATAAAGTTTAGTCTTCAATGGAGATGATCTTGGGGGAATATGGCTGTTGGAATGGGATTTGCTTTGCCATAAATGGGGGAACTTGATTCCTTTGAGTCTGGCCGGTTTAAGTGGGTATGAGAGCTTCCTGGGAATCTTCTTGATGGCTTGATATGTGCTGAGGTCGTGCCTGATCTGTAGAGAAAAGAGCTGTTGGGGCTTTATTGCAAAGAACTCCAAATAAGGCAGTTTGGTGTTAATGGGGATCCTCCTGATCCTATGATGGATGGTGCATGGAATGAACTTGTAGAACTCTTCTTGGACGCCTATAATGTCTCATGGACGTCTTGGTTTAGTCTTGGTGTCTTCTGGTCGGATTAGAATTGCTCGGAAAAGATCAAACCGAAAGATTGTCCAATCTTTCCATAAATAGCTCCGGTTTGATTTAAGTGAGCCTCCATTGAACCAACTGATCTCCTGGGTTATGATGTAGCTAAGGACTACTGGAATACCTCCTGATTGGTTGAAATGATCTCCTGGACGCCAATGTTTGGTTTGAAGCTGACTGAACCGGCCAGCTTCCAATTGAGGCAAGTGTAGAGCTGGTCTGACCGGTTTTGGAGATTGGATCATAACTTCTGATTTCCGTGGCCATTTCTCCTTATATTGGGCTTTCTGGAAAGATGAGAGACGCCTCTTGAATCCTATGATGGGATTTGGTTCAGTCTGCTCCTTCTTCGGGCTTGAATCTCCTTTTAAGGTCGGGTACTCGCGGATGAATGGACTGGAAAACCTCTGTCTTGTAAAATTCATAACTTCTTCTTCCGTGGGTCTTTTATCGAAATTCAAGCTGGGCCTGACATCTGCTTGAGTGTAGAATCCATGAAAATTGGTTTCCCTCCAGAAGGCCTTTTTGTTGTCGAGATATACGCCTTGGACTGGACCTATGTCGATGGTATCGCCTAGGTGGTTGGTTTGGTCGGTTTGGTGAACCTCCGGTTCAGCTACTGGTTTGATGGCCGCATCAAGTATATATCAGGCTATAACCTACTCATGCAGTATCCTAAGTCCTAAGATCAAGTTCTAGTTAGCTACTCTAGAGCTTGCATTAAGTATGCTTCTAATCAATGGGTATTAATCCTTCTAACAACCTATTTTGGGGCTAATTCAATAGAACCATATCAAACCTTAAATCTAACAAAGGAAATTACTCAAACATAATCATGCAAAATATATTCATAGTCTGGAAATAATATATAGATATAAAACTAGGGGTTCAAATACAAAACAATGGGAAAATTCTTGATCTTCTCCCCCAAAAGACAATGAAAAACTATCTAAGTAAAAAGCAGGGTAATCTCTTGCCTAAGAATGGTATAAACTCTTATATAATTAGGTAAAAAATCTTCAAGGTTAATCTTGTTATTATGCTTGTCTTGAGCTCCAAGTCCGATTCTGAATAAAGTCGGGTCTTCTTTCGCCTTAACCATCGATCGATGCTAAGGAAGCAATATCGATCGATGCTGATCTTGTGGTATTGGCTTTAATTTAGCTTATTCTTGTCAGCTATGGGTTCTTCATCCAAAAATCTCCAAAAACTCCACATAACTCCAAAATGAACCTAGACCCGAAAACAATATAATATAGCCTAGACACATAAAATATACTCCAAATAGGATCCATATTATGGCCTAAAACTGGTAAATAATAGGTTATATCAACTCCTCCATACTTAACCTTTTGTTTTTCCTCAAGCAAAACTAGGCAACCAGTAAAAGAGGGTTGAAAAGCAGGATTCACAATATGTCTAAACTCCTATGCCACACTAAAATCTCACTAGGTCAATTCCAAAGTACTTCATACTTTATCCTAGTATAGCAACCAAATCCAATCTACCAACAACTTAGCAAATACTAGCCTGACTCGCCCCCCGACTTACTTCCTTTCTTACATAAAATAAATTTGTAGGCTTTCCTTCTGGAGTATCGATCAAATGACAATTGGATTCGTACTCTTGCAAGTATCTGAACACACATGTAATCTTTTCTGATCCCTTTCTTCCCTCTTTCTCTCCTCTGAATCTATATATGACTCAATGCCAATGAACATAGATAGGTACTTTTTCCTTCCATATTGTTCATCTTATTGGTTTTTGATTTTTTTTTTTTTTTTTGTGTAGGCGAATAATGGGGTCATCAATATGTACCTACCCCTCGCTTCCAACGATGTGTGATGATTCCATTAGAGTAGAATATTTTGGTCGCAGGAGACACTCCTACCCCTCTAAACCGCAAGAAATCATATCAATCTTTTCTTTTTTAGATGCTGAAGAGATAGAGAAAAGGGGATCAAAAGCACACAGACTTTATACCTTCCAGACTTGCGTCTGATACTTCTGGGCATGCACCTGAAAGACAAGAAAGAAGAATAATCGGTATCAAAGATTTTTTAAAACCTAGACTAAACCTAGAAAGTAAATATAATGGGAAATTTTGCTCCCCGACAACGGCGCCGAATTTGACAGGGCTGCGTTTCAAGGTTTAAAACTCTTATTCTACTCTATCAAATTACCCTATGAAACTAAACTAAAACCTACTCTTGCCAAGAGAGATCAATTTCCGTATTTAGGGATCGAATCCACAGTGAGCAAAGCACACAATATATTTAGTAATCTTATGGTTAAGTTGGGTGAAGTATTTATATTAATTATCAGGATGAAGTAAAGTGTAATCTGTTTGATGTTAACTTAATTCAAATAAAAAAGTTAGCTAGATCTAGAGTTTAAGAACATGAATTATAATCAATAGATTGTTTATTAGTCAAAATGATACACTAGGAAATAACCGCCCACTAATAATCACTGTCGATCGATGGTCGAGTATCGACATAATTCGATGGGTGTGGCGAGTTGGTTACCATCAGGTATGATCGATCAGCTTTCGCTTGTTTCTAGCAAACCTAACTTAATTGGAATATATACCAGGTTAGAACCTACTCTCGCAGTATCCCAAGTCCTAAGATAAATTTCTAGTTAGCTACTCTAGATCTTGCATTAAGTATGCTTCTAACCAATGGGTATTAATCTATCTAACAACCTTATTTGGGGCTAATTCAACAAAACCATATCAAACCCTAAATCTAACAAAGGGAATAACTCAAACATAATCATGCAAAACATATTCACAGTCTGAAAACAATGCATAGATATAAAACTGGGGTTCCAATGCAAAACAATGAGAAAAATCTTGCCTAAGAATGGCATAAACTCTTATATAATTACGTAAAAACTCGTCAAGGTCAATCTTGTAATTATTCTGGTCTTGGGCTCCAAGTCAGATTCTGAATAAAGTTGGGTTTCATTGGCCTTGACCATCGATCAATGCTAAGGAAGCAATATCGATTGATGTTGATCTTGTATAATCAACTCTAACTTAGCTAATACTTGGCAGCTACAGGTTCTTCATCCCAAAAGCTCCAAAACTCCACATAACTCTAAAATGAACCTATACCTGAAAACAATATAATATATAGTCTAGACACTAAAAAAAGACTCCAAATGGGGTCCATATTATGGTATAAAACTGGTAAATAATAGGGTATATCAATGTGCTTTAATATTAGTTTATTTTTGTTATCGGGAATCTATTACAATTTGATATATTACTTTTGGTTTATTTTGGATTTAAATTTAATTTCATTATTCACATTAAACCTTTAAATATTTATGAAATTTATGGTTTGACATTTTTTTTATCAGATGTCATAGCTCCTAACTTGTTACAAAATGGTTAAATAGTCTAAATTATTTTTGGATAGTTTGTATGTTAATGAAAATGAAAATTAAGAAACTAAAGTTAAATATTTTCTAAAGGCTTTTAAAATAAAAAAATATCTATTTTATTTTTAAATATATAATATATTATTATATGAAAAAATATTTAATTTATTAACTCGTGATTCATCCCCGACCACCCAATAACCCGGTAGCCTGGGAATTTGTTCAATTTTGTGTCCAAATCGAGTTTAAAAACATTGATTTTAATTCGACTAAAATGTACTCTTTTAACTTAATTAATCGAGTACCGTGGACGGATTGACAATTCAGTTCAAAGGAAAGCTCTCTGTCTCTCTCTCTTTCTCTCAAAACTCAAGATTTTATCAACCTTGTAACAAATGTTTTATCTTACTAGACAGAGAAAGACGCATATAATAAAGGGAAAATTGCCAAAAAGGGACAAAATACCTATACTCTTGTCCCCTTAGAATTTAATTTATATTTTCTGTCCCTATAGTATAAACAATAATGAATATCCCTTTTTGTCCTTTTTTACATTTTCTTATTAATTTAATTTATAAAAATGTAAAAACATGAAATAAGTAAAAAAATAACTGCACAAAATAAGTAAAAAAGAATAACCCTCGGATAACAAAAGAAAAGGAAGAAACCGTTAAACATAACCCCATAGCTCAAAAAGATCCGAAAAAACCTCAGCTCTCGTGACTCTTTTTCTCAATCGGAGATTCTCACCGAGATTTGCTTCTCACCGAGATTCTTTCACTGGAGAACTCGAACCCGTCTTCACATCTCTCTGTCATCCTCTTTTCTCTGATTTCACGCGTCTCACAACTTTTCGGGTTCGTTAATTAAAATCCAGTTGTCTAACCTCCGAGGTAGCTTCTTCTGTCGGAAAAAGCACGATTTGCTTCACATTGTTCCTCTTTTGCTCTTCCTTCATCTCGGTTCCCAAAAGTCGAAGGTTAGGGTTTTGAAATCTCCTTTATGGATCTTGTTTTTTTCTCATTTTTGTTTATGTGCATGTTGGAGAAATAGGTTGAATTGCTTAAAATTTTTGGTTGTTTTGAAATCCCCTCTATGTGAAATTTGTTTCTCGGTTCCAAACTTTGGTTCTTGAGTTATATTTTGTTTGGTATTGTATTTGTATTATGGTTTGAATTTGAAACAGACTTGAAAAGGCTAATGATTTCGATCCATTTTACATGTTGTCTTACTTGTGCCAATTTGGTTGTTGAGTTGATTTTGAGTTATACTTTGTTTGTATCGGTTTTCAATTATGTTTTGGAGTCGTAATAGATTTGAAAATGCTAATGAGTTTGATATGTTTATACTTTTTTTAATTCTTTTGTTTGCAACTACACAAGTAAAGTAGAACATTTTATTTATGTTTTGACAATCGTTTAGTTATGTAAAGGCTAACGAGTTGAAGTTTGTAATGTCTTGTTTTGTAGGAATGGCTTACCAGTTTCCAAAACACATTCTTGAAAGAGGAGCTGAGATCAAGATTGATAAGATCAACAACACATGTAGATGCACGATGCTGGCATTGTTGAAGGACTTTCTTAAGGATGAGTATGACGAAGTTTTGAAACATCCTGTGTTCGGTCTGATTCTGGCAATTGTAGACAACAAGCTCATTTACTTTGGGAAGATTATTCACAGCTTTATATGCAAGCAGCTCAAGGTTTCCAAGCTTCACGAGTTGTGGTTTGAAATTGCAAACAGGCCGCTTAGGTTCTCCATGCAAGAATTTCATGCTGTCAGTGGATTGAAGTTTAAAGAAGAACCAGACATAGACTTCAATGATTGGAACGATGATAAGGGTTTCTGGAGTAAGGCGCTGAGGTAAAATGCAAATATCAACTTATACAGCATACGGGATGAGCTGCTTAAAGTCTGTCACACGTGGGAATTTGTGGACAGGGTGAGGTTAGTGTATCTGTGTATTATACATGGATTCATTATGGCTAAGGATTGGAAAATGTATATCCCTCAAGAGTACATTCGATTGGTGATGGATTTTGAGAAACTGAGAATGTATCCTTGGGGTCTTCGCGCCTATGACGAGCTGATCTCATCCATATTAAAGGCAAGAACAGATTTGCATCTGAAGAACAGCTACATTTTGGATGGATTCTCATATGCGTTTCAGATATGGATTATGGAGGCAATCCCAGACATCGGTACTATGGTGGCAAAACAGATCAAAAAAACATTTTGAAGGTGAGATGTAGGAATTGGACAGGAAGTGGAAAAGTATCTTACCAAGATATCATCAGCCTAGAGTCCCACTTCGACAAGGTAATTATGTTTATTTTGTTATTATTGAGTTCAATATATATGGAGCTTATTGTTTCGTTTGTTCTTGGTAGGCAGAGTTGTTCCCATTTATATCATCTGCTGGGAAGTTGGGTGTGATTGATGACCCTGAGTTCATAAGAGAAGATGAGAAGAAGGATGAAAGAGTTGATCGGATTGTTGGTATAATCAAAGCCAATCATGACTGGAAGCAATTCATTTGGAAAGTTGAGCCTTTACCAACTAATATGGTCTTTTCTAATTCAGAAGATGATGTCGAAGTTGAAGATGTCACGCCTGTTGTTGTAGAGAAACCGACAGTTGCTGCCAAGAGGGCCAAGCATAAGCTAAATGATCCTGGTGTCGAGTCTCGTAAGAGAGAACTACTTTGTCAACGGGCAGCTGAACACAACACTGGTGTCTCCGGTGAAATGAAGACCTTTATTGTGGATTTGTTCACTTCTTTTAAGGAGGTGGTGCGGAAAGACATCCAAGACCATTTTGACAAGGTCGACATTGAGGTGGCTCATATCAAAGAAAAAGTGTCTCAGATTATGGGTCCTTCAGATACAGTGGCCAAAGCAGCTAAGAGTGTGGATCCTTCAGTACCACTTGCGAAAGATCAAGACAAATCGTCATAGTCTCTGGGTCCTTCAGCAACAATTGGGAAAGATGAGACCAAATCATCACAGATTCCACGTACTTCAGGAGGAAAAGAAAGAGGCAGTGCATCTGAGAGTGTGGATCCTCATGCGCTTCGTCGTAGTCCTTGGACAGTGAGAAAGGTAACAACAACATGAAGCTTTGTAACATTATGGGTGGTTTAAGTATTTTGTAAGCTATGTTGGACGTAATATCTTTTGTTGCAAGTTTTTATATGTCGGCTTGTAATGTATTTTGGAATGTACTTTCCTATGTATTATAAGAATGTTGTCTCTACTCTGAATTTGAATGTTATGGTTGGTTTTATTAGCAGGATGCCAGTGCAATGTTGGAGTTTTCGAAGAATCTGACAAAATCCAAGAAACATGTAGATAAGGGGACCCAAGAGTCTTTACAAAATGCCATGGGATACCTTTCTCAAGCATCACATGTTAAAGGTTTCGATCCATCACAAAGTCTCAATGACGACGATCAACCGGAATGGGTTACTCCATTATCTACGTTTAAGCCTTCAGACTGAATACCACCTACTCTCAAAGATATGGATCTCCCTGAGGACCGGATGAATGACACCGATTACTCACTAGTGTTTGTCGCTGAGGATCAATGGGCCAAACTGAATGAGTGGTTCACAACTTCCAGGTTAAATTATATTGTTTCTTAGTATTTTATAATTCTATCCTTGTGTAACTGATGTTTGCATTTCAGGCCACTGAAACTAGGACCTACTATGTTTACAAGTGAGTTATTAAAACGTGTCATAGGACCTGTAGAGTGGATGTTGAATAAAGAGATTGTTTAATTTGTTGGTTCTTATTTTTCAATCTGCTTTCAACATTTTTCTTCTTTTCCAGGAAATTGATGCTATGATGTATGTATTCAGTGAGAGGAGTTCTTTGCGACGATGGCTTCCAAAAAGAGTCGTGTTAATGACATGCTTTTTTAGTAATCAAATGAAAAACTCTTACCAAGAGTTTGCTAAGGGGGTTAGGAAATTCAAAGTCACCGAAATTCTACACCAGTACGGCATTGGTGAGCTTCCAGCACACGGTCGGACATGACTAATGTGGGATCTTGATGTCGACCGCATGTATGTGCCCTTGAATGTTGGTAAAAACTGAATCTCTTTGTGCGTCAACTTTGTCACTCGTTCGATAGAGGTGTTTGACTGTGAGGGAATGCAACATCCAAAAGCAGTGGAGCCATTTGCTGTTCTCATCCCTAGAATTGTCAAAGCAGTTCAGTCTTCAAACAGTCGGGCACACACTGTTAAGAAGTATACTGTCACTTACGCTCCAATGCCCTTATTACTAAACAGCAGTGCCTGTGATTGTGGAGTATATGCCTTGAAACATATTGAATGCCATCTTCTAGGCTTGAACTTCTCCTTGGTGAATGATAACAACATTCGTGAGGTACGGTTAAATATTGCTTATGACCTATGGGAAGCTGCTAATGATCTTGTGCTTATTTAGAGAATGGCACAATTTACTCCTCCAAAGACTATTCAAATCCTCTAGTGGAACTTGATTGAAGATCTTGAAATGATTACATGTTTAGGAAGTATGTTGTTATTTGCTCTATGTTTTTGTTAATAACATATTAATGTAAGACAAATTAACTCTTTAGTTACTCTTTCTTACTCTTTTAGTTAGTATAAGCGAAATTAACCCCTAACTATACCCTAAATGATAATAAAGTAAGACGTACAATAATCCCTATCTATACCCTAAACTTCATTTTAAAGTCATACGTAAACTAACCCCTATCTATACCCTAAACTTAATTTTAATCATTCTTTTTTTTTTAATTTTTTTAAAAAAATCAACTTATACTTTTACTAAATTAAATCAAAGAGATATACCCTAAATAATAGTAAAATAAGACATAAACTAACCCCTTTCTATATTATAAAAACCTAATCTGATTAAAAGCAGTGTTTTGCCTAAAAAAAAGCTTATATAACCCCTTAACATGGCCACAAAGTCTATATATTTCATCGGTTTCTTCTCCCATTTTTCTTAAAAATCTCTCATTCAACACAACAGAACGAGGATCATGTATATCAGTGAAGGGATCCCTTCCAGATGCTGGTGTGGGAAGGGGATTGTCACTTATGTTTCCAAAACGGAGGAGAACCCATACAGAAGATTCTTCAGATGTGAGATTGGTTTAAAGGTAGATCTGAATTTTCATAACTTGTCAATATTATATATGTCAATTGACTTGTTTTATTTGTTTTGAAACAGAGAAAAAAAATCATCTTTTTAAGTGGGTCGACGAGGCTTTTTTGGATGAGATTCAAAGGTTGGATGATCACCAGTCGAGAATTGCCAAGGAAATTGAAGAACTCAGAAATTCCATGAAGACAGTGCAGGAAGAAGTTTTGAAGCATACGAATTCACTCGATATAGGTTGTGTAGACTCCATTCTCAGTGTCTTATGTCTCTGTTCCAAACGTGATTGATATTGTATTGCTCTCTGATTCAAGTTACATTGTCAAAGAATGATGAACCAAGATGATTTCCAGTTTTATTGTCAATTATCGAACAATTGTGAAAATAAAACATAGAATTCTGATTAACCAATTGTCAAATAATGATGAACCAAGATGATTTCCAGTTTGGATCGGTTTCGGATTAAGCAAATTTAACCATTTCGTAAAAAAATTGGATTTGTATATTCGGGAATTCGAACCCAGGTTGATAAGAGGAAACTATAGCCACTTTTACCACCAGAGTACTTTTCATTCGTTGTATATTTCCATACTATAAATATATATAACATCTGTTTTCATTTTAAAAATACAAAACTTCCATCAACAAGAAGAACAAAACACATACTTCGTATATCCCGGGATTCGAACCCAGGTTGTTAATGGGAAATTGTAGCCACTTTTACCAGAAGAGTACTTGTCATTCGTTGTATACTTCCATACTATAAATATATATAACATCTGTTTTAATTTTAAAAATACAAAACTTCCATCAACAAGAAGAACAAAACACATTCTTTGGAGACAAACAAAAGAACTACTCTTTCAAACCTAACTTGCATATACCGAGAATCCATGAGCATAACACATAGTCTTCAAAACATAACTTGCATAAACGAGATAAAAATAGTAGTCTTTCAAAGATAAGTTCCATAAACCGAGATAAACAAAACACATAGTCTGTGAAACATAAATTGCATCATACGCTTTGACACGCCTATATTGGCGTATCACATCTTCTTCGATCGTGTCCTTAAAGCCCACATCGACTGCATTTCCGAACTTTAGAGCCTTGTGTACCCTGTGACGAACGGATCTTATCTTCAGCTGTCTCGTATCTGCGTTTCTTTTTCCTACCTGAAGCTCGTCTACTCTCTGGAGGAAGGACTTTTGACTGTTCTACATCAAAAGGAACAATCCACGCATCTTCAGGGACAGAAATAGGATTTATGCTTTCTTCATAAGCTGAGTACCATGACGCAGTAGTGTACATGTCGTCACTGAGAGTGTGTGTGTTCTTCTTCCAACACTGAAGCCTGTTTTTATGGCGTGTCTGCATGGGATTTTCATTAGATCAAATTTCCCACAAGAACATGTGCCTCTGACCAAGTCAACCATGCAGTCAATACTATCACCTCAAACCAAAAACCTGTCATCGCTAACTGGGAAGACCTTAGACGTTTTACCTTTCTCAATCCTTCTGTAAATCTTCTTCTCCACAGCAATGGTCATTGGCTTCGAGTGCTTAGAACTTAGAATTCTACGATTGAAAAACCAGCGAGTCATCATTTCCCTAATGCTGTCCACTAAAGGTATTACTGGAAACTCTCTAGGCATTCTCAAAGCATAATTTATCGACTCTGCTGGGTTAGTAGTCCTAATATCATACTTGTAACCCGGAAACTGACAACGAGCCCACTTCCTCACATCGGCTAGTATGAGATAATTTCCAATGTCAGGATTAATAGAGTAAACGGCAGTGAATAGCTTACGAAAATCAGCAACTCGATAAACTTTAGAGGCCTTAGCAACCAAATCAGCCACACATTTCCCACCGCTCTTTGTTACAACATTATTCAGTAAGTGATGAATGCAAATTCCATGATGAGCTTGCGGGTATACTGACGCAATAGCTTTAGTTATTGAGGTACACCTATCAGACACAAACGATAATCTATGATCGTCACCAATGACCACATTAAGTTGTCTCATAAACCAATCCCAAGCGAGGTCACTCTCTGAGTCAACAACTCCGAATGCAATACGATATAAATTTGAGTTTCCATCTAATGTAGTAGCAACCAGTAATACTCCTTTGTATTTGCTCTTCAAAAACGTCCCATCCACGACAATAACTTTTCGAATTGCAGTATAGAAACCGCGAAGACTCTGACTAAACGAGATGAATAAGAATCTGAATCTCCCTTTGGCATTCGTTTCATAAGATGTGTATGACCCTGGATTAGCTTCCTTCTTCATGTGCAAGTATTTAGGAATTTTTTCATAACATTTCTCTGGAATACCTTTCACTGCGTTGATTATATATTCCTGTGCATCCCTCGCCAAAGAATACGATATCTCAACTCCATGATCAATACACATATAGTCGATTATATCATTGGATCTCATCCCTTCTTTAGCAGTTTCAAACTTATGCATAATCAGAGTACCAACAGTTTTGGCCGAAGCTGAACGAATAGAACCGTTCCTTCTCGATGGAGCACATGAATGATCAGGTACATACTTTTTGATGATGAAATACGATGAACCTGTTAAACCTTCTGCTCGAACGCGCCAGCTGCAACCATCTTCTGAGCAACAAATGTACCACACTTTTTTATCTGACTTGACAACCTTATACTCGAAAATATGCTTCATAGCACATATCTCGAATGCTGCCTTCAAAAGCGTTTTGGAACTAAAATGTTGACCCTTCTTTGTGACATCCACCAAAGAAAATCGAACGCCATTTCCATCTCTCTT